CATCTACTCTCATATAATCAAAATACCTGGAGTACAACAAAAAAATATTTTTTATACAAGATAACATTTAATCTGAGATTACACAGTGTGAAATATTCTGCTTTTATTATTCCTTGCAAATATAATAAATAGTGCTCATGGAAAAGCATCAGGACGCAAGAAATAACTATTATATGCTCTATAAATAAGGTATTTTATTCACACTAGATTTGTAATATAGTATAATAAAGACACACTTGGTGGTGACATGATTACAAAGTACTTTTACTAATTCAAGTTTTATTTTACTCTTAAAAAACACCAAAACAATTTCTTAAGTGATTTTGTTTAGCTACCTCCCTACAAGGAATTGGATAGTAATCCCATTTCACTTAGATCTAGATACATTTCCTTAAATCTTTTCAAGTTTCAGTAATGTGCCTTCAGTTCATGTGAACTGCCACTAGGTGACAAACTTTCATAGCACTACATATGTCAGTTCACTCAACACACATTTTGTATCTTCTATACAAAGATGATTCAGGCTTGGTCCTTTGGGGAACTCACAACTTATATCTACAAAAATAATCACTATCTAATACCTACAAATATAGATATGAAGGAGCACAGACAAGAGATTTGGAGGATTTGAGAAAGTCTTTAAAAGAGATATCTAATTTCAGTCTTGAAAAACTTGCAGGTACTTACCACCTAGGAAAAGGTGAAAGGGGCAGCCTGGGCAAAACATTTAAAAGCTTCAAGGCAAAAAGTCTTGAAAGCATAGAAGGGCAACATGTATTTGGGAATTATATTGAAAGCAGAGAATAGTAAGTTAATTATTGCATTGGTTTGTACGAGACACAATGAAGGGTTTCATTAAAAGCAATGGCATGGCCGGGCGCGGTGGCTCACGCCTGTAATCCCAGCACTTTGGGAGGCCAAGGTGGGTGGATCACGAGGTCAAGAGATCAAGACCATCCTGGTCAACATGGTGAAACCCCGTCTCTACTAAAAATGCAAAAAATTAGCTGAGCATGGTGGCTCATGCCTGTAATCCCAGCTACTCAGGAGGCTGAGGCAGAAGAATTGCTTGAACCCAGGAGGCGGAGGTTGCGGTGAGTCGAGATCACGCCACTGCACTCCAGCCTGGGTAACAAAAGCGAAACTCTGTCTCAAAAAAAAAAAAAAAAGCAGTTGCATTAGTGATGAGGATAAGGGCCTTCTGAAGAGGCTTTTCTCAGAGTAATTCAATAAGACTTGGTGATCAAATGTAGTAGTAGGAGGAGAAAGGTTGATGGAAGAATCAAAGATAACTTGATATTTTCATCGCAGGTTACTATCTTGAGTATAATGACACTCATTGAAATGGAGAATGAAAGAGAAAGAATATTTGGGGTGGTAGAAAGGGAAACCTTACTTGAAAGAGATGCATTAGGTTTATCAGGTAAAGGGCTGAGAGATCTAGATCAGCAGGTAGCTACAAATGGAGTTTAGGAGCTTGGTCTGGCCTGTAGGTTGTATTATGGGAGACACACTGGAATAACTAAGCAGAGATGAGGTTGGCAGTGTTGTCGGGCCAGTACTAGATACAAGTTCAAAGTAGAGTAAAAAAGCTGATGGCAGGACTTAGATAAAGAACTGCAAATCAAAATATGATAAGCAGTAGACAAAAGAGACAACAATGGAGAGGGGACAAATCCAGAGAACAGGATAGGGCAGGCGATTAAAAATCTGAGCAGATCAGCAGAAACAAGGGGCTTTGTGGAAACTAAAAGGGCAAGGTAGAATAGCCAAGGTAACAGATTCAAGGAAGTCACTGAAATGTAAACAAGTTAAGCAAGAGATTTTGCCAATCCTGGAGCTTCTTGCACATGCAAGAACCTATTCCCAAGCATTTTGACTTGAGGCTTCACTCAGATATTATTGAACATACTTCTAGAGAGTAAGGAATCACAGTGGAGATAAAGCTGTTCTCAACTAGCTGCCGTGATAATTATATTTCATACAAGTGTATCTTTCTATGCCAGGACAAAAGCTGTCTCACTTTTTGGATATTGAAGAATGAAACATTCAAATTACAAAAACCGTAATTCTCTCTTCCCCCCTCCACTCCCCTCTTTCCTTCTTTCCTTTTGTTGCTTAATTCTATTTTCATCATTTCACTCATTTTCTCTTCTCTTCCTTCTTTCTTTCCTCACTTCCTTCTGTCCATCCTTCATCCCTTTGTCCTTCCTTCCTTTATTTTGTCTTTGTGGAAGAAAAGACCACTTACAACCTTTCATATGTTGGGTTAAACATCTAAACTTTATAGAGAGTATTTTGAAGTCCAAATATTCTCCAGTGTAGCAAGAAATATCTTACTCATCATAGCTAGTAAATAATCTCTTCTAAAAACGAGTAAAACTAAAATTAAATTACATTCATGTGGTTTCGACTCTGTTGAACATATTAGCACTGTATTAAATGATGTCTTTAAACTTTTTCAGGCAGTTAGGTGGATAGCAATTAACTTAAATGTAAAATGATTTAACTCTCAAGTATGGGGCTGGAAGCAAACAGAAATATTATAGGATTGGCTTTGTCATTGTATGCCTTTTAACTTAGAAGCTTTCTATCTCTAGCTTTACTTCCAGTTCCTGAGGTTGAAAATAAGTCTCATCCTCTGCAGTGTATTTTGTGATTTTTATGGATTCCTTATTTCTGACTTGGTCTATTTCTTACCAAAGTTAAATCTAAGATTGTTTTTTAAGAATGTAAACAGAAAGGTTAATAAAATATTTGATATAGCATTCTCTGGTAGTATCCAACAACATTATTATTGATTTTTTTCTTATTTGAATATGGACTTTTATTTCGTTCTTTTAACAGATGCTATTACTTGTAAATACTTAAAAATGTTTCAGCTACAATATTTCTGCAGTTCTAGTCTTTTGTACTGAGTATCATTTCACAAAGGAGATTTTGGTAAATCTTGTTTGGTTGAAACACATTGTTGTTACTTTAGGTGCTGACTATTCTGATGCTGAGTTTCCAATTGCCTTGATAAAGTAGAAACACTCTATGGCTTGGATGACTTACATTTCAAATTGGTTTGACCAAGATGATTGGTATGAAGGACTACAAAGAGTAAGATATATTTATTTGTAATTACAATTTCCTGCAATGTTTTTTCTGCCTTGCTTCTCATATAGTTATATTTCTATGTCATTTGTACTGTGGACATTTGCACATTGCCAAATTCTGAGAGTGAATAAGACACTTATTTTCTAGTTTTAAAGCAGAAGTAAGAATATAATGAGTATATAATGATATGTTGAAGAAAGGGCATTTTACCTAGCCTAATTTCAGATGAGTCCTTAATAGAGGTGTTTTGTTGTTGTTGTTGTTGTTGTTTGTTTGTGTGTTTTTTGAGACAGAGCCTCACTCTGGCACCCGGTCTGGAGTGCAGTGGAGTGATCTCAGCTCACTGCAACCTCTGCCTCCCAGGTTCAAGTGATTCTCCTGCCTCAGCCTCCCAAGTAGCTGGGATTACAGGCTCCCACCACTATGCCCACCTAATTTTTTATAATTTTAGTAGAGACAGGGTTTTACCATGTTGGTCAGACTGGTCTCGAACTCCTGACCTTGTGATTCGCCCACCTCAGCTTCCCAAAATGCTGGAATTACAGGTGTGAGCCACCACACCTGGCCAATAATGTTTTCAAATTATCTTAGCCTTTAAATATATAATAACATTTTATATAATGAGATTAATGTATGAAAATAGCAATAATTTCAAGCAAGTCTTTCTCATAAAGAAAATCATTTAATGAAACAGAAAATAAATGTATATTGGTACTGTTTATTATAAAAATATTTTTAAAGGAAATGAAAACAATTATGAAGAAGAGTGCCATGTTGCATCTGATAATTTTTTAGGCAGTTAATTATGTTTGAAAATAAACTGCATTGTTAGTGTGGCAACATTTGCATAGTTTCCTGAAAATAGTATTCTAACCTATTATTACAGTAGTAGAAAAAATTACTATTTAAAATGTACCTTGTCAAGTGGATTTGGTTTAGAATAATATATGATTTATCTTTGATTGTTTTCACTTTTTAAATTTCTTGATTACTTAAATAAAGATAATTTGTATATTTTTATTTTATTAATTAGTGGAACAAAAAAGCCAGATGATGTGCAGTTTTACTAGATTTTTCACCAGTGTTGTTCAAGGGCATATTCTGCCAAAGATATACAGTACTTTATTTTTCTTTCTTTTTCTTGAGCTTCCCATCCTAAGCACATTAATTACAGATATTTTCTCAGTATTGTGCTTATTTTTCATTATAAATTCCCAACGGTGTAAAGCCTTTTGGCCTTTTTCTTCAGATACTTTTTTTGTAAGTTGTAAAAAAAGCTGGCAAAATTCTCTGGAGCCAGCAAATATCTAACTCTGGAGAGTAATATTCATATTGTAAATCCTAAAGCATTCTTCAAAAACGGAGTTGAGAGTTCCATCCTGAATTTCAACTTCAGGTATAAATGATGGAAATATTCCAGCTTAAGAATTTAATAGTAATACTCCAAGCCCCACTTACAAACACACACACTAACACACACACACACACACACACACACACGCAATGCCAGAATGCCAGTATCCTTATTTGTGTTATATGTGGGAACGGGAACAGATTTTAAGAAAAATACTTTTTATTGAAATGTATTTCCTTTAAAATGACTTTGGAGAAGCTCATGCAGATTATGAGAATTCAAAATCTTTCCCTTCTTGCCTTTTATACCACTATGGGCCTTTATAAATGAATGGCTGGTTTTGAAACATATTAAAAGTGTAGCTATTGTTAAAATATAGAAATAGATTGACCCTAAAATAATATTATTGTGAGTTTGCGCTTCTTCTGTCTTAAGTATTGACCAGCTCTTGTACATATGTAGATGAGAATGAAAGATCCTATTCTAAAAGAAAAAAATTGGCACATGACTATTAACCTTAATTTCTTTCAAAAATCCAGCTTATGGTCTCCTGGTGCTTTCCACAGACTGTTCTTACACTGATTGTATAGAAAGAGGAGGTGGAATAAACCTACCCCATATACAGTTCAGCCCAGGACCTGTGCTTGGTTTGTGTTGTGAATGGGGAAATACAGAATTGAAAAAAATTCAGGTTATTATTTTTCATGCTATTTGTATATGCATATATAGTATATATGATCAGCATTCAGCATAACAGATTTTTAAAGTTTTTAAAAATGTTCACAAGAAGAGATAAGTTGTGTTTTTGAGTTAAAAATTGTAAATTAGAAATGTAATGTTTGAAAAATCACATACAAGTGTGAATTTGATCTTTAGAGCACTAAGTTGGCATTTGTATTTTGACATAGTTCGCATTTATGGCACAGGACTATGTTTATACCAACACATATAGTTGAACTTCATTTTAATTTAGTTTCACAATTTTGTTTTTGGCAGATAACTGTCTTACCTATATATTAAATTTTGTTATGATTATTTTATATCATCATCTTACATATTCAAAAGTGAGCTTTATTACCTGTGCTAAACTGATGTAGATGTATTTTTATCACGTTTTTACTCACTTTTCAAAAAGCATCTTCACCATCTATTCCCTATTGAATCTAAGAGTAAATTTTGTATGATTATTTTGTGTGCCTGTGTGTGTTTCATATGGTATGAGATTGAAACCAAAAATAGAATTTTGGTTAAACAGATAAAAATAATATCATTGCAAGGACTGTATTTGCCAGGCTACTGATGCTGTCAATTCTGTGTGGGGTGACACAATGTTCAGGGTTTCTTCCTGAAACCATTATAAATCTGCATTATTCAGTGAGCTGCAGTGTTTAGTACTTTGTTGGCAAAGCGTGTATGTTGTTTCTGAGCCCAAAAAATTGTATTTTCTGAAGGAACAAATCTTCAAAATATTGCTTCATTCTAAAAATGGGTATTAATATTGGCCAATCAATATTTTGTGTATTTAAAATGGAAAACTCTATAAATATTTATTGAGTATACTTGTTCTGGATCTGAGTTGAAGTCCTGGATATCCTTATTAATTTTCTGTCTCGTTGAGTCCAAATCTCGTTATGGGTCTTATGTATCTGGGTATTAAGATCTCTTATTGTTGCGTTGATCCTTTTGCCACTGTATCTTTGTTGCTTTGAAATCTATTTTATCAAATGTGAGAATTGCAACTCCTGCTTTTTGTTTATTTATTTTTCCTCTCCATTTAGTTGGTAAATTTTTTCTCCAATGCTTTGTTTTGAGTCTTTGTGTATCTTTGGATATACCGTAGGTTTTGGCTGTATCTTTTGATTTGGGGATTTAGTTGATTTAAATTTAGGGTTACTGCCATTTGTTGTTAACTGGCTATTTTATCCATTCGTTGATGTAAATTCTTCTTTATGTTGATGCTCTTTACTTTTTGGTATATTTTTAGAAAGGCTCATACTGGTTGTTCCTGTCTATGTATAATGCTTCTTTCAGAAGTTCTTGTAAAGCAGGCCTGGTGGTAATAAAATCTCTGAGTACTTGCTTGTTCATAAAAGATTTTATTATTCCTTCAATTGTGAAGCTTAGTTTGGCAGGATATGAGATTCTAGGCTGAAAGTTCTGTTCTTTAAGTATGTTGAATATTGGCCCCCACTCTCTTCTGGCTTGTAGGGTTTCCGCTGAGAGATCTGCTGTAAGTCTAATAGGCTTCCCTTTATGGGTGACCTGGCCTTTCTCTCTGGCTGCCCTTAGTATTTTCTCCTTTGTTTCGCTCCTGGTGAATCTAACGATTATGTGCCTTGGGGTTGCTCTTCTTGAGGAATATCTTTATGGTGTTCTCTGCATTACCTGGGGTTGAATAGTGCCCTGCTTTGCTAGATTGGGAAAATTTTCCTGGATAATATCCTGAAAAGTATTTTCCAGCTTGGATTCATTCTCTCCATCACATTCAGGTCCACCAATCAAACGTAGATTGGGTCTTTTCACATAGTCCCATATTTCTTGGAGACTTTGCTCATTCCTTTTCATCCTTTTTTCTCTATTGTCTTGTCGTTTTATTTCATTAAGTTGGTCTTTGATCTCTGATATCCTTTCTTCTGCTTGATCCATTCTGCTATTTAAACTTGTGCATATTTCACTAAGTTCTCGTTCTTGTGATTGTATTCAAGAGAGATCCAAGACGGCTGATCACTAACAGCTCAGGATTTATTGATTCCCAGTGCTGGGATTCAAGCAACCCACTGCGCCGGCCAAAATAGCAGCGATAAGACTGATGGTGCTCTTCTGTCCAGGAATCTCTGGTCTGGCTTCCTTCTTGAGTCTGCAACAAGTAGCTCTGCCTTCCCAGAGCTCCAAACATTAGTCAGTAAGGGAACCAGTCCCGTTTACTCTGAATGAAGAGCTGCCGCGCCAAGGTGCCGGCAGAACCGCTGTGCCGGCCACAAGAGTCGTGCTGGTGACCCGTGGGGCTCCTCCACTAGAAATCTGCTGGTCCATGAGCGATGAAAATTCATCTGAAAGTGTGGTGTCCTTTGGTTCTCTGAGCTTTCACTGGGAGCTACAATCCTGAGCTGTCAGTGATCAGCCATCTTGGATCTCTCTTGAATCCAAGAACTCGTTCCTGTTCTCTCTCCCTCTTTTTCTTCCTCTTTTCTCCTCTCCTTCTCTCCTTTTTTTACTTTTCAATATCTTAGTTCCTCACCTCTACTCAATACATTCCTCTGAACACCTGATTCCTTGTAATTCTTCCGTCCCACTGAAACCTCCAAAAAAAAAAAATCTTCAAAATAGACATGAAAATTCTTAAGTGGTTCACATATTAATTAAACATTCTAAAATAAGGATAATAAAGGCTTTGTAAAACATTTTTCCAAAATATATGACCTGTCATAATTAAATATATTTATTTACCTTTACATGTGACATATTTTGTAGGATTTATATTTAAAATAAAAACATATATTTTGAAATGGATCTTCACTGGACCATTTTCTGTCCTTAGTAATGCAGAATCATGATTGAGTAACAATTCATGCTGACTACAAAGACAATAAAATGTCCTGGACATTTTGTTTCATCGCCTTGGCAACCGTAGATATACTTTAATAAAGGCTGCATAAATATTACGTATCTTTTTTAGTCCTTTCAAAAAAAAAGTAGAAGTTCAAATATTAGGATTTGCTTGAATACATAATTCAGATTTTAAATGCAATGATACTTACATATTTGGTGATATATGCTATACTTTTAACATTTTATTCAGAATCATATTGTTTTGAAATAGCTATGTCATTTTGCCCTATTTATTTTAATAACTGGTTTAGCAAGTTTTTCGACTCTGAATTTTAAAAGGATTTAAATTGTTGGATTGTAAGACCTCTAAAAGCTATGTAAGAACAAAGGACACCAAATTTTATGTCAACATAGAAATGCTTGCATTATCTAATTTTGGAAACTAAAAAATAATAAATCAAGATATACTCTTGGTAAAAGTCAAAATATATTGGCATAACTTTAGAAGTTTATTTTTGTTTTTAATAAATAAGTTAGCAGAGAAACTGCTAGTTTCTAGTTCAGTATGTAAGCAGCTTAGAAGTTGCTACTCCATTTTAACCAGTAAAAAGGTTAAACACATTGAAAAATCAACAACTCCACCCGAGAAGTAAGGGCACAAGGGAAAACACTGCCCTCAAAATTATAGAGATAGACATGCAGTTACAGAGAATCACATATTACCAAAGCAGAAATCAATTAGCAGAAACCAACCTGGGAATCACTGCCAGAGTATGAAAATCTAAACTGTTACTGATGAGTTGATGGAAGCACAGTATGGCCAAGTCTGAGAGTTAAAAACTTCAGGGGACCTCAGTAATGGGAGTGGCGGGGGACCATTTGTGAGTTTTACCTCCAAGAGCTCTAACTTAGTGCTCACAGTGAAAAGAAGAATATCCTCTTGCTTCCAGCAAGGGGAGGGGAAAAGAAACCACTTAAATTACAATAGCGAGTTCTGTTTTTCATTGTTAACCAACTTTTAAAATAATGTGTATAAAATTATGGAGTACAAGTAAAATTTTGTTACATGTATAGATTGACAGTGATCAAATCAGGGCTTTTAGGGTATCCACCACCTGCATAATGTACATTGTGCCATTCAGTAGTGTCTCATCATCCACCCGCTCCCAATCCCTCACCCTTTGGAGTCTCTCTTGTCTAACATTCCACTTTTATGCCCATGTGTACACATTCTCTTACTAGCCACTTATGAGTGACAACATGTGATATGTGACTCTCTGTGTGTGGCTTGTTTCGCTCAAGATAATGACCTCCAGAACCATTCATGTTGCTGCAAAATAACGTGATTTCAATGGCTCAATAGATTCCACTGTGTATATATACTACATTTTTGCTATCCAATCATCTGTTGATAAACGCTTAGTTGATTCCATGGCTTTGCTATTGCAAATAGTGCTGTAATAAACATATGAGATGAGTGCAGGGATGTTTTTGCTATAAGGGATTTTTTCCTATAGGTAGATACACAGTATTGGGATTACTGGATCACATAATAGCTCCAATTTTAGTTATTTGTGAAATCTCCATAATGGTTTCGATAGAAGTTATATTCATTTACATTCCCACCAGTAGTGTGTGAATTCTCTTTTCCCCACATCTTCAATGAAATCTATTTTTTCTGTCTTTTAAATAATAGACATTTTGTCCGGTGGAAGATTATATCTCATTGTGGTTTTAATTTGCATTTCTCTAATGATCAGTGATGTTGAGCATTTTTTCATATACCTCTTGGCCATTTGTATGTCTTCTTTTGAAAAATGTCTACTCATGCCATTGCTTTGCCCACTTTTAAATGGAAATTTTTGTATTTTTGTTGTTGTTGTTGAGTTGTTTGGTTTCTTTGTATATTCTGGATATTATTTACTGTTGAATGAATAATTGCAGATATTTCTCCCATTCTGCAGGTTGTGTGTTCTGTTGATTATTTTTTTTCATTGTGCAGAAGCTCTTTAGTTTAATTAAGTCCCATTTGTCTATTTTTGTTTTTGTTGTCTATGCTTTTGAGGTGATAGTCATACATTCTTGCCCAGACCAATGTTTATAAGAGTTTCCCCAAGGTTTTCTT